GGCTCCGCGTCCACTCTCCGAACGCGGCCTTCAAGCTGGCTCTGAAAGGAGCTCTGCAGACACGTGGACCAGCACGGTGCCTGTCCAGCCCGCAAGTCCGCGCGCTCCTGGGCCCGGACGGAGCGCGGGACCAGGAAGCTCAGGCGGCGCCGCGGCCAGGCGGCCTCGGCGTCCCACGCGTGCGGGGAGCCGAGACCTGCGCAGCTCCGGGCCGCGGGGTCTGCAAAGTGCCAGGCGTTTCTTCACAGCTGTCACATGGAAGGGGTCAGTCAGCCCGTGCTGCCGGGGCGGGGAGGCCGGGTCCCTGCGGGCGCGGCTCTGGAGGGCGGCTCTCCCGGCTCTCCCTGCTCTCCCGGGCGCGGCTCACAAGGCGGACACCTGCTTGTCCTCTGCGGGGCGGCGGGAGAAGGTAGACACTCGAGAGGGCGGCGCCCAGTGGGGCGCACGGAAACCCGCGTTTCCTAGGCAGCTGTAGACAGACGTGTACTTCAAGTACATACACACAATACTGAACACATTCATGTTGAGTGACTGTAAAGTTACATATAAAGTCATGCACAATAGCACGAATTGCACGTGCAAGTTGCACAATAGCACGTGCCTTTTCTATAATGCTGCCATGTACATGAAGGACATACAGAAATGTCGGAAAAATGGTTATCTGTGAGTGCCCATTACTAATTCATTTTCCCTTGTTATGTCTGGCTTTTTACATTATGACTGTGTAATGAAGAATGTTAAACTGAAAACTTAAAAGAAGGACCTCCCTTCTCAACCTCAGTCAATCCAAATTCAGCAGACAGATTTGTAAAAAGGCAGCAAAGGAGTTAGAGACACTGCGTGTGCTGGTGCAGCCTATAATCCCAGCACTGGGAGGCTGAGGCAGGAGGATCTCAAGTTCCAGCTCAGCACAGGCAACTTTGAACACATCTCAAAAACGAATGAAGAAAGACGGGGTAGCTCAGTGAGCAGGGCCTGCGTTTAGTCCACACCGCCTTTAAGATAAACTTTCAGAAAATCTGCGGATCTTTATTACGTTTTCACTGCCCAAAGTCCCTGTGCATAAAATCCTAATGTAACAGAAAACTTAGCTATCCATTTCATAGCTCAAAATGTTTCCTTAAGTTCTTGAAAACAGCACACACTTTTCAGGTTTTTATACTTATCCTGAAAATGGGGCCACAGAGGTACCCTACTTTCTAAGAATTAGAGAAGATGTGCAGGCCGGTGGGTGCAGGGCGCTGCCGAGCCCTGCAGAGTAGCAAGGGTGCCTGCCCAGGGAGGCAGCAGGGAAGGCCCTGTCCTGCCCAGTCCCCCCACCCTCCCCCCGGCCCCACCGCCTGGCCGCCCACACCTACCGTCCTACTCAGCGGAGAAGCCCTGGGCCTGGTAGGGCGCCAGGCGCGGGTCGGCCTCGCCCGGCTTGTGCCACGGCGTGTTGGGGCCTGGGGCCTGGCCTCCGTGGGGCGCGCCACCATGCGCGAGCGCTGCGGAGCCACGGTGTGGTCAGGCGGCCTGCGCGCCGAGTGTCGCGTGGCCTCGAAGTGGGCGATCGGGATGCCCAAGTAGCCTGGCGGCATAGGCAGCGGCGCCCGGTACCGGCCCTCCTTCTGCGCTGCAAGGAAGCAGGACAGGACCGGACAGGACAATTAGTGCAGGGAGCACCGCGCCCACCGCGCAAGACCGCTTTACTCCAGGCAGTGCACAGCACAGCGCTGCGAGCAGTCAGCGAGAACCCTGGGGAAACCCGCGGCCCGCAGTGCTGCGAGCCTGGGCACTGCGGCAATGAACGCTGCTCCGCCCCGCTGCCCTGCCCTGCCCTGCCCTGCGCTGCCCAGCGTGCAGCAAGGTGAGCCCTGACCTCGGATACTCGGGAACTGGGGCTGTGCACCTGCCCCGGTCCTGCTCAGTTCCTGCCCAGAGCCAGGTGCTGACCCCTCCAGGACCTGGAGCTTCACCTCCACTCGAAAACCAGCGCACTGCTTCCTGGCCCGAGGGTTCTCTTTGGAAAACAAGGCAGTAAAAGAAATTTGGAAAAGTAGTGCCCCCCACAAAAAAAGTCAATTTAAAAACTAAAACTGGCTGGGTGTGGCGGTGCACACCTGAAATCCCAGCACTCAGGAGGCTAAGGCAGGAGGATCGTTGCAAGTTAGAGGCCACCCCGGGTTAAAAAGTGAGCTCAAAACCAGCCTGAACTGCATATCGATACCCTGTCTCAAAAAGACAAAACAAAAGCAAAAACAAAACTCAAACTGTAAGATATTTATTTTTCTGAAAATCCTTTTATGAATGTTGGTTATATGGAACTTGTGAAAGAAAATCAAAAATTTTTGTGTTTCTGGCTTTCTAACTTGAATGGTAGGAGCTAAAACATCATCCTTTCTTCACAGTAAAAATTCTGATAATCAGTTTAACAGAAAATGCCTTAAGATGATTAACCTATGAATATGTTTAATGAATGTGCTTAACCATTCTCTCCTTATTCACTGTGGAAGGTATCAACTCTGACATCTACTCGTGACTGTATGGCAGAGTAACCTCAGGGTCTCAGAGGGGCATGAAGGGTCTCCAGCAGGGCAACACCAGCCTGGGCTACAGAGAGCGTCCCTGTCTCAAAAACACAACAGAACCAGAACCAAAACCAAAACCAAACCAACCACAACTTCTCCATTGATGAAAGTGATGCTTGTCATTCCCCATTAATAAAGGTGAATCTTATAATTATTTTATTTCAGAAGTTCTCCTTCTATATCCTCTACTCTATTCTCACATTTCCATTACAGAAATGTCAAATACTGCCCAGGAGATGTGTGTTTCCCATAGTTCTGGGACCCAGGGACACTGGCGATTTTGCATCTGAGTCAGCAGCAGCACCTCCCGGGTCCTTGCGACACTGTCCCAGCACTGAGGGGGTGCCCACACCATTTACACCCACTGTCCTGTTCACGCTGACTCTACTGAGAGGGCACTAAGCAAGCTGATGGATGGGATGGCAGGGACCAGCGCTTTGTCCATGTCACTGAGCCAGAGACAGCAACAAATTGACTCTAACCCCACTGCCACCGTCTCCCCTGCACCACAAATGCCTGCCCCCTTGCGCTAGTATGGCAGAGGGCACTCTGCACACAGAGGTGCCTGCAGAAGGGCCACTATGAAGATGCTCCGCATGTGAAGGATAAAGCTCCAAATGTAATTCAAGAGAACGAAACAAATAAACAGAGCAAAGTTCCAATGAAAAAAAATACTTCCTCTGTGAAGCATGGGAATCACCCTGGGTATTTTCAGATTACAAAAAAAAAAATCCTGGGAAATGCCCATGCTGACCACAGGTGGCCCTGAGTGCTGATGACATCAGGCTGCTGTTCTTGGTCTCCAGGGAAACATCCTTTCCACCCCTTCGCTTAATAGTGCCTGTGTCACCCTCTGAGTCTTCTCCCCAGTAGCCGGCAGAAGGGGCCCATCTTGCCCGGGGCTGGGCTTGGTCAAGACTCTCTCTGTTTTGATTTTGTCTATTATACTTTGTGCTATGGTCAGAAAACATGACTGTGTCCACGTGGCCAATAGCAGCCCACAGGCCTGCAGGGTCCCCTGAATAGTCGAGGTGAGTGTGCCCGAATGGGAACATCTCCCAGCTCCTCTGGTGCTGGATGGTCTGGATGTTGTTGTGTGAGCTCCTAGAGCATGACATCCAGCTCCCGCGGCCACTGTCAGTGGCGTCCAGGGATGCATGGTCACCCTGGTCCTGGGCGAGCTCCTCAGTGCTCAGAGAAGAGATGACTGTCACTGCAGCATACAAGCCCCGGCTCTCAGACGTGGCACATAGGACCTACTCAGTCAGACAACGGGGAAGAAAAAAGGACGCAACCGTTAAATGCCTTTGCTCCCCAGAAAGGCAGCTCTCTCCTCCCTGAAAGAGGGTAGCAGTACCCTGAGCTTCATAACAAGTCAGCACTGCCGCATCGCGCTCTCTGACTCAGTCACTGTGCACTAGAGAACAGACACAGGGAAAAGAGTGATTTGTAAGGAAGGGACAGTGTCCTTCGAAGGTGAAGGGCAGCTCAATACAGCCTCAGCAAGCCTGGGGGTACAAGCTGCAGGCCCTCAGCCTTGGCACAGAACAACTGCGCTACAAAGAACAAACCTCTCTGACTGCCAAGCAGCCCCAGCACCAAGCACAACTAACACAATGATCTTGCCCAGAGAACAACAAACTCAGCAGCTAAAGTGCATGCCAGGGACAGCGCACTGGCCATGACCACTGGAGCAATCGGTAGAGGGTATGGCGCCAAGCTGGGCGTGGATGGGATGGGCAAGGCGGGATGGGCAAGGCGTGATGGGCAACGTAGGATGGGCAAGGCAGTCCAGGCCACCCACCCCAGGCTGTACTGGTCCCGCTGGAGTGAGGCCCACTGCTCTGTCTTGCCAGCACCCAGGCCGCTCTCCACGATGCTCACAGAGTACCTCTGCTGCCACTCGTCCTGCAGGGAGATGGGCACGGAGTTGAACAAGGAATTGCTGATGATGCTGGACGATGAAGAAATCTCACTGTGACCAGAGTCTGAAAAGTTATCCACAGTGCTGCTGGGAGCCAGAGTATAGCCTGCAGGGAAACACACAACAATGTGGACATCACAGGAGATGACGCAAACCCAAGTCTACCACAGAGAAGCCAGAATAAAACCATATGCATCACCACAGAGTGGGATTGTTTAACTTATAGAGACCAGAGACTAAAAGATTAAATTTTTATTCTAATGAAGTATAAACTCCTTAATCTATGGTGAGGGAATGAAAAAATGCATATATACGCATGCTGAGAAAAGATGTACAAATCGTGGCACTGCTTTGCTAATCTTAGCTTCTATGAATTGCTAAGAAGTATGCCACTCCAGTACCTGGCTTACAGAAGAAACCAGGCTGAGGATGGAGCTCCGTGAGAAGAGCACTTGTCTACCTCATGTCCATGCATGAGGCCGAGGTTCCAGCCCAGCACCACATGAGCAAAACAAACTCATCAGAATTAAAAAGGGGAAATTAGACTTCTTGGTCTGTTTGTTTTTTGTTTTTTTGAGACAGGGTCTATGCATTCCAGGCTGGCCTCAAGCTTGCAGTGATCTTCCTGCCCTGGCCTCCTGACTGCTGGGATTGTAAGTATAGGTATGCACTGCCACACTCTGCTAAAAAAAAAAATGCATTCTTTCAAACTGCAAAGTGAGTTAATCTGTTTTCAATTTTAAGAATTAAAAAGCATGGCATTGAACAGTTCACCTGGAAATAGCTGGTTTTGGGGGGTTTTTGGTGGTACTGAGGATTGAAGCCAGGATTGCTCTACTACTGAGCTACATTGCCAAGCTCTTTTAAATTCTGTATATTTTTTATTGTCAGAAAGTTTTGCATTAAGCTGCTCAGGTTGACAACTAACTACAGTCCTCTGCCTCAGCATTCTGAGTAGCTGAGATTACAGATGTGTGGCACCGTACCTGGTCGCATGCTATTTTTAATGGAAAAAAAGTACAAATATTCTTTCTCGACACTCACTTTTTTCTTTTTTATATTATTAAGGATCTCATGTTAGTTAAAAATAATTTGATACAACCATGTACTATGTAAATTTTTAAATGCCATTTATCACAAAATAAATAATATATAAATAAAATAAATTTGAGTACCTACATTTGTCAATTTAAGTGGTCCCCTCCTTTCAGTAAACTGGTAATTCCTGACTTATTTTTTAAAGGTTACACAGGTCTTGGATAAGATTTAATGTGTTCACTTATGAAATGTCTATAAACCACACTGCAAGTCCTGATGGGTGAAATTTAAATCTTTCCTCAAAAGTCCACTCAAAAACAAAAAGCTCTCTAGGAACACGGTCCCTCTGACCTGCACTGCCATGTGGAGGACTCACCCCTTCTCTCAGCCACAGAGCTGAGTCCTCGCTCCCGCCCGGGTTTGGTTCTCACAACCCCACCTATTCCAGGGGTCTGTGGTGCACTGTTACTCTTGTTACTGTTCTCACTACCAAGAGAATAGGAGGAACTGGTTAAGTGCAGCTTCCCGGAGCCAAAACACCTCAGCTGAGCGCCACTGCCACCAGACAACAGGATGAGAGAAGAATTCAGACACATCCACTGCATGGCCCCTGGCTTTGCCACATGCAGGAAGCCCCAGGTCTCAGATGGCGAAGGGCAGGGCTGTAGTGGCTGGGGCAGAGGCATCTAGTGAGGAATCAATGCTCTGGGCCTCTGCTAGGGACAACGACATCATGGCCTGTGACCTCCACAACTCAAGGCAGGGCCACAGGAGGAAGTGAGGGCTGCTTCATGTGCAGAGCATCGCACAGGAGGAGGTGAAGATGCAGGCTCTTCACAGATAAACCAAGATTGCAAGGAGAAGATACTCAAGACCCATGTCAATAGGACGACAAAAAAAACCCAGGAACATTCAGTCTATAAAGTTCTCTTCTGTACTAATGTTACATAATCGCATTGAGTTAGAATGAATTTTATTATAAAAAGAATTCTTTCCATATTTAGGACCAATAAAGGCAAATGGATGTTTAAAAGAACTATGTAAGTTATAAATCTGATGCTATCCTTTTGTAATATTAAAAGGAAATACAAAGATTCTTCCAAATGCATAAGCTGAGGGAAATCTACTGAACATCATGAAATAATTTTAAATGAGTATAATATTGAAAAGCATGTGTGAGGTGGGAATTTTTGTAACTGCACACAGATTTCGGTAAGGAAAACAGTGATTCCCCACTCTACCTTTCCTTGGTGAGCTCTGGGGAGAAGTGGGAGGAGAAGAGAGCTGTGAAGATGCATTTGACAGCGCATGTTCAGCTTGTTTCTTGTGATGTTCCAGACTTCCTTCTTCAGACAGGAAAGGATTTTCTTCAAAGCTTGTAGAGAGTTTATGCCTATAAAAATAAGCAAGTAACTTACATGTATATTTTCTAGACTGAAAAGAGATATTAATGACCAAAAAACTATTTTGTATTAAAATTCACTGTTACTGTTTCAATATATTTATAACAAACTAAGTGGTTTTTGTATTCCTCATGATATAGACAGTAAGATTAAGGAGGCACAGGAGGGAGCGCAGAAGCAGGAGGTTCCAGATCTGTGCCAGCACTGCCCACATTGGGCTCCTGTGTGCACCGTGAGTGGCTGGCAGACACAGAATCAGGAAGCCCATGATCTGCTGCACAACAGTCCGCAGCTGAACACCATAAGAACCAGGTAGCTCCTCATCTACTTCCTGGGAACAGAGCAGGCATCCCGGAACTCTGCGCCATTGCAGTCTGTATCTCCGCCCTCCATGTGCCTGGGGCACACAGGAGACTGTCCCAAGGGACCCACGAACCCATTAACACTGGGGTTTGTGTGGTGCATGCCGTGCATGCCCAGTGACACGGGAAACCCCAGAGCAGGCGATCCACAATCTGCTGAAATTGTGATTTGAGTCTGGGTTGCAGGATTCATGTTTGGGCAGGAGTGCAGAAACTGGCAGTCTGTGATCACTGCCAGCACAGCCCAACTCTGGCTCCTGTGCTCCCAGTGAAAGGGTTGCAGACACAGGACCAGGCAGTCCATGAACTGCAGACCCTACTGTCCATTTTGGGCTCTACCTTCACTCTGGAATCCCTGGAGTCACAGGGCCAAGTGGTCTGTGATCATGCCACCAGTGCAGACCACTTCTGGTTCATACTCGTGCCCTGAGCTGTCAGGGGACACTGGATCAGATTGTCTGTGACCTGATGACATTGTGGTTGGTGTCTGAGACCTGGGAGAACTAGGTAAACTTCACCAACTGCTGGAAGAACCCAAACTGAGCAGCATACCTCAGCAGCCACTGAGGGGCAGGTTTGACCACCAGGAAAACTAGGGACATTAGTGACCTTTGCTGAGCTGACAGAGAGTAAAGAGACTGAGCACTCTACCACCAACATCAAACATGACAAGACCAAGGACTAACATGCAATATCAGAATTCCACCCTTCCAGAACAAGTCCAGGAGACATCGACATAGGAGAACTAGGTAAACACACATCTGAAATTGCTGAAATGATTGCAATGGAAGTAAAGAAACAACACCATCAGGCCAAAGAAGAGATCAGATCAGAAATAATCTCTCAGGCAAAAAATGAAATGACAATAATAATGAAAGAATTGCTCAGCACATCAAAAGAAGAAACATATAAAAAATAGATGAACATAGGCAATGGATGGAAATGTTAAATGAACAATATAAGAAAGAATTAGAATGTATGAACCAGATTTAAAGAGACATCTAGAAAAACAAAGCTTCACTGAAAGCTGCCAAAACCACCTGAATGAAGCCAAAGGTAGAATTTCAGATTTTGAAGACAGCATGGCAACTAGTGATCATAAAAGAAAGGATTTCTTAGAATCAACATGGAACCAGTAAAAATCAATTCAACAGCTGCAAGACGAGGCAAAGAGGCATAATGTATGACTAACAGGAATCAATGAAACAGCAGGAGGCAACACAAATGACATAAAAGGAATATTTGCAGAAATAATAGCAGAAAATTTCCAGAGCATGGAAACAGAACCTGATATACAGATAAATGAGGCATATAGAACTCCAAATAGTCATAACCAAAATAAAACTACACCCAGACACATAATAGTCAAGACCCCAGATCTCCAGCAAAAGAACAGAATATTAAAATCTGCTAGAGAAAAGAAGCAGATTAACTATAAAGGAAAAGCCATGAGAATCATGGGAGGCTTCTCAGCACAAACCAACCAATCAAGAAGACCTTGGAATGAAGGTCCAAAACTCCAAAAACTCCATAAACGCTTGGAAATTAAACAACAACCTCCTGAATAACCAACGGGTCACAGAAGAAATTAAAGAAAAAATTAACAAATACCTACAAACAAATGAAAATATAAATACAACTTACCAGAATCTGTGGGATGCAATGAAAGCAGTGCTCAGAGGGAAATTTATAGTGGTGAATTCACACATAAGAAAAACAGAAAGAGAACCAATAAATAGTCTAATGCTGCACTTCAAACTTTTAGAGAAAGAAGAATAAGTCAAGGCCAAAGCCCAAAAAGGGAAGAGATTATAAAGATCTGGGCAGAAATTAATGCAATTGAGATGATGAAATCATACAAAAAATAAATGAATCAAAGAGTTGGTTCTTTGAAAGAATAAATAAAATTGATAAACCCCTAGACAACCTTATCAAGAAAGAAAGGACTCAAATTCATGCAATAAGGAATAAAAAGGATGAAATTACTACAGAGTACACAGAAATTTAGAAGATCATTAATACCTGCTTTGAAAATCTTTACTTCCACAGGAGAGAAAACTCAGAAGAAATGGACAGATTCCTAGATATGTATGAATTACCAAGATTGAGCCAAGGAAATGTAAAAATCCTGAACAGCCCAATATCAATAAATGAGATTGAAAATGTGACTGCAAACTTACTGACAAAGAAAAGCCCAGGCCCTGATGGATTCACAGCAGAATTTTACAAGAAATTCAGAGAGGATTTAATACCAACACTCCTCAAACTCTTCAATGAAATTGAGAAGGAAGAAATTCTCCTTAACTCATTTATGGAGGCAAGCATTATACTGATACCAAAAACAGAGAAAGCCTCAACCAAGAAAGAGAACTACAGACCAGTCCACCTAATGAATACAAATGCAATGATACTCAATGAAATATTAGCAAATAGAATGCAGCAAATCATCAAGAAAATCATACAACATGATCAAGCTGGATTCATTCCAGGAATGCAGAGATGGTTCAATATTAGCAAATCAATAAATGTTATACACCATATCAACAGAGCCAAAGAGAAAAACCACATGATCATCTCAAGAGATGCAGAAAAAGCTTTTGACAAAGTCCAACATGCATTCGTGATAACTTTAGAGAAAATAGAAATAGATGGTCTTTACCTTAACCTGATCAAAGTCATCTATGACAATCCAACAGCCAACATCATACTACATGCACAAAAACTGTAAGCTTTTACTTTAAAATCAGGAACAAGA